TCTTGACAGCTTGCCACACACATATGTGTGTATGTTGTAGGCGAGACAAGGGTCTTGACTGAAAATGCCCACCCAGCGACATCCTCTGTCAATTGCTCAACCTTTTTTAGTTATCAAAGTTAGTCACTGTCCATGAAGCATTATCTTTGGCTGGTACAGACAAGCATACACCTTTGGTTTTAAATGCATTCATATAGAGATGGGTTGTGATATACTTTTGTAGGACTGCATAAGTGGGCTTTACAAATTGGGCAGACATCTTAGAGATATCAGCATACATTTGATTTCAGGTGTGATATGGGCCTAGGGGACTACCTTGTGGTACTCCACAATCAACTGCTACTGCTATGGGTTCTGAGTATTGACCACTGACACAACTGACTTCTGTCCACCAGTGAGGTAACTTTCAAACCAGGATATGGGGCTAAATACTGAAACCGTAGCTTTCAACACCAAAGGCGATTTTCTTTAAACGGAAAGGTGTTTGATGCTTTGAGTATTTGCTTTTGTCCTTGGGGAGGCATTTATTAATCAGATAAGCTTTTTATTCAGTGGAGTGGTAAAGGCCATGTGGTTTGGGAGACCTCGTGCCCCACCTCTCTTTAAGGAACAGATGCTGTGATGGAAATCTTGTGACAGACAAGTCGAAAATGAGCGTGACATGTGTTAAACAGGCGCATCAACATAATGCTGAGGTTTGACAAGATGATGGGCAGAAGCAATCATTATTACTTTCACTTAAGCCTGTGATTAATATTCAGTACTGCCCTTTTTGAAAGACATCTATAAATGTCAGGATGCAAATGGTTTGAACAGATTGTCAGTGGTCGATGAGATGTTTGAATAAGTCCAATGGTATAATAATCTGCATTTCCATTGTCAAGTATTTATAAGCTGTTACTGAGATTTGATAATTGCTATAATAAGATTGATAGATATCTGAGAAGAAAGATCACTTAGTGTACTATTTCCTAGTAGACTAAGCATGGACCAAATCACATTTCCCACATAATGTATGTTATCACAAGATCTGATAACGCTGGGTAAGGATTACATGATACATGTAATACCATCTATATGTGACCCTGTATCAGATTAAATGGATACCAAAATTAATTAAATGGATACCAAAATTAATTAAATCATTCTTGAATCCTACACACTTTCAGAAAGTTTTCTTTCAGTCACTGGTACTTCTCACTTTCATCCACCCCAGCCCATCCCGTCTTACAAAGGTGCCAAAGATGGCGAGTAAGGCCTGGGGAGGGACATTCCAGGGAGGTGCTCCCCTTACCCACCCTCCAGAACCGTGCGGACCACAGGGGCTGGGTTAATCACATTAGAGGCCCAGGGGAGAGATGGGAAGTAGACAGTACCGTGACAGCCGGGGGAGCACTGGCACGACTAATCCCGTTAGACGAGGGAAAAAGGGGGACGCCATCGCTCCTACTAGGCTGAGAAAAAAATAATTTTCCCAGGAATGAGTTCACCTGTATGGTAACACAGAAATGTTGGCCTTTTGATGCCTATTAGAAAGAGACAATTACACTTGGCACATACAAATGTTTTTTTTCCATCCTGGGCATCACTTATTGACGATGCATGAAAAAAAAAATCTGCGACAGACAGTGGCATTGCATGGGATCCTCTTTCATGCCATAGTAAAGCAGCCCTTTTAAACCCAGCGTAACCAGCCTCTCTAACAGTGAGAAGATGGGGAGGGGTGCTGTTAGAAGGATAGAGCTTACTTTATCTGCTATTGTAAACGCACCCGAGTTCAACCTTAATGTAAACCTTTGCAGGCAGGATAAGAATGGGATGCTCTCTATAAAAATATAGCCTGCTGGGTAATCCGGCAGATGGCCACAGCAGCAGACACTACTAGAGCGGCTGGCCACTGCAGGGGTAACAGGGAACGTCCGATCACCAGCCACTCTCCGGCCTGGGAGATTTGGAATCAAGATTCCTCACTCCCGTTAGCAACACTGGGAAACTGAGCCGTCAGTTTGCATCCATGAAGTTTCTACTTAATCTCTCTCTCCTTTTTGTATCTTTCTCTTTGTTGGGGGGATTAAACAGAGTGGTAAAACAGTGATTTGATGATCTTTCCATGGCTGTGTGCACCCCTTAAACCATGAGACAAACAAGCTCAAGCATTCTGGGAGTCACCCTCTCTGAAGACAGAGCTCGGGGAACTGTGTGAGGCTTTTGATACAGCTGAAGTTCTGGGGGATTTTATTCCATCTATGGTCTGGTTTGCTCTGAACTGGTCTGGGAAAATATAAACTTGGTAAATATTTAATTATGCACCAGGTTTATAAGGCTCTTAGCTTTTGTGTAAAAGTATGTTTAATAACAGGTGTGAATGTTTTTTGTCGTCATACAATTTTTACAAAATTCAGTTATTCAAAATCAGAATTTACAAATTATTAAATTGTTTCTGACATTCTTACTGAATTTCAATCCATTCACACAGTTCTCGGTTTTGTGGGTTGCAATAGCACACATATGGGACTATTATGCAAACATATCTAATATCTACATTTGCACTTGTTAACTATTGTTTTTCACTGCAAACAAACATTTATTTCCACTATTCCATTTGTATGACTGATTCCTCGTATGGAATTCATGCACAGGTGTCACAGCAGTACATTTAGTCATATAGGAGCCTGAACATACATTTGTGGTCAAAAGTTTTGAGAATGACACAAGTATTGGTCTTCACAAAGTTCGCTGCTTCAGTGTTATGAGATATTTTTGTCAGATGTTACTATGGTATACTGAAGTATAATTACAAGCATTCCATAAGAATTACATTAAGTTTATGCAAAGAGTCAATTTTTGCAGTGTTGAAGACCTCTGCAATCCGCCCTGGCATGCTGTCAATTAACTTCTGGGCCACATCCTGACTGATGGCAGCCCATTCTTGCATAATCAATGCTTGGAGTTTGTCAGAATTTGTGGGGTTTTGTTTGTCCACCCGCCTCTTGAGGATCGACCACAAGTTCTCAATGGGATTAAGGTCTGGGGAGTTTCCTGGCCATGGACCCAAAATGTCGATGTTTTGTTCCCCGAGCCACTTAGTTATCACTTTTGCCTTATGGCAAGGTGCTCCATCATGCTGGAAAAGGCAATGTTCGTCACCAAACTGTTCTTGGAGGGTTGGGAGAAGTTGCTCTCGGAGGATGTGTTGGTACCATTCTTTATTCATGGATGTGTTCTTAGGCAAAATTGTGAGTGAGCCCACTCCCTTGGCTGAGAAGCAACCCCACACATGAATGGTCTCAGGATGCTTTACTGTTGGCATGACACAGGACTGATGGTAGTGCTCACCTTGTCTTCTCCGGACAAGGTGTTTTCCGGATGCCCCAAACAATCGGAAAGGGGATTCATCAGAGAAAATGACTTTACCCCAGTCCTCAGCAGTCCAATCCCTGTACCTTTTGCAGAATATCCGTCTGTCCATTATGTTTTTCCTGGAGAGAAGTGGCTTCTTTGCTGCCCTTCTTGACACCAGGCCATCCTCCAAAAGTATTCGCCTCACTGTGCGTGCAGATGCACTCACACCTGCCTGCTGCCATTCCTGAGCAAACTCTGAACTGGTTGTGCCCCGATCCCGCAGCTGAATCAACTTTAGGAGACGGTCCTGGCGTTTGCTGGACTTTCTTGGGTGCCCTGACGCCTTCTTCACAACAATTGAACCTCTCTCCTTGAAGTTCTTGATGATCCGATAAATGGTTGATTTAGGTGCAATCTTACTAGCAGCAATATCCTTGCCTGTGAAGCCCTTTTTGTGCAAAGCAATGATGACGGCACGTGTTTCCTTGCAGGTAACCATGGTTAACAGAGGAAAAACAATGAATTCAAGCACCACCCTCCTTTTAAAGCTTCCAATCTGTTATTCTAACTCAATCAGAATGACAGAGTGATCTCCAGCCTTGTCCTCGTCAACACTCTCACCTGTGTTAACGAGAGAATCACTGACATGATGTCAGCTGGTCCTTTTGTGTGGCAGGGCTGAAATTTTCATGGCAAAGAGGGACTTTGCAATTAATTGTAATTCATCTGATCACTCTTCATGACATTCTGGAGTATATGCAAATTGCCATCATCAAAACTGAGGCAGCAGACTTTGTGAAAATGTGTATTTGTGTCATTCTCAAAACTTTTGACCACGACTGTACAGTATATTAGAGACCTCATGCAGTATGAAGTCCTTGACTTGTCTGAGGTCTATTTAAGGTAATCTACTCACATTGTCACTCTTCATTCAACATTTCAGCATGATACAAACGTTTGCGGTTTGTTGATAGCTAGAAATCTAGAATTCATCTTTTTTATTGTCGAAGCTAAAAAATCTATCAAATAGTGAGCATTAAACGTGAGCACAGTGCCACTCAGTGGTCAGCTTGCTGATCTGCATGTCATATCAAATGTATTTCTAGAATACATGTGAAGAGACATGTTTACATTGACAAGCAATTCATCATTATTGTCACTGGTTGCACTCCAACCCATCTTAAACACAGTCGGGCTGGAACGTACCCGCTATGTCTGTTCAGAGCCAGTCTACTATGCTACAGAGAGAACCTCAAGCCTTTCTAATGGTTTCTAAATCCAGATCAAATCATAAATGGTGATTAGTGACATTGAGAGTACAGTGTTGGTGTCTGGTAAAGAGAGATCAGACAGCTCTGTAGAGAAAAAGGGAAATTCACCACTTGGTTATTTGGTCCGCATACCTTTGAGTGATTTCAGCTGAATCTCAGTTCATCAGGACACTAATTTTCCTTAATTTTAAGTCCAGTCCACTCACCTACAGGACACAATGTCTTACACTAAAATGCAAGTGGGTTCTCAGCCTATGCCCACTTACTGCATACTGAAAATGTGACTCCCATAATTAATCTGTACTGCACCATCACCATTGTGGGATAGTTGGGCTGGAGGAGAGATGTGTCCATGGTGTGAGGTCACTGTAAAGGATGGGGTCAGGGTCAGTCTGGCCAGTCATTATCTTCCAGTTCGGAGTCTTCCTCTGAGTCGCTGTACTCCACTGCGATGCGTCGGGACAGGATGGTGGCCACGTCGTTCCCCACAGGCTCCCGCTTGGCCTGCTGCTCCTGCTGCTCCTGCCCCTTCTTCAGCTGGATGCCTGAGGAACACAAACACACACAGATACATTCACACACAGTCTAAACATGTGCAAATACTTATTTGTATATAAAAAAGAAACCTCTGCCATTTCCAGAAGAATGGTAAACATCTAAGTACAGCAAAACTCACCCATGCGAATAGCTGACAGAAGGTCACTTCGAGGCTGGGTGTCCTGTCTCTTCCCATCACTGAGTCCTGCCAGTTGGGGGGGAGCAGGTGGTACTGGTGGTGGAGGGGGAACTGGGGGAGGTGGAATCATATGAGGTCCTCGGGGAGGTAGAGGTGGGAGACCATAGCTTGTGGCCCCTGGCCTAGGTCCAGTAAGGGGGGTGGGGGATACCATGGGAGACCCAAAGGCTGTCTGTGCGGATGGGATAAGAGGGGCTGGGGGAGGGGGTAGTGGTCCGGAACTGGCATAGTACTCCATTATACTGAGAGAGAGAGAAAGACAGAAAGAAGGTTTTCAGTGTCTGAACTTGAATTTGAGCTAACAACATATTGGTATTAACAAATCAGAGAGTTAATCATCTACATTCCAGATTTCTTGTACTGAGAGTTGTACCTGTAGTCTGTAGGTGGAAGCGTCATAGTGCCATTTATTCTCTCAGTGGAGCGATGCAGAGGTGGGGAGTGGTGTGTGCGGTTGAGAGTCCCTTCTCTGTAACTGACTCCGATGCTGTGGTACTCATGCTCTACAGACTCATGAATGTCCGCAGGCGGGTAGGGGTGAGCCAGCGCATGGTTGGATGCAGCATGGGGAAGGCCTGGAGCAGTTGGGTAGTCTGGCAGGTCATGACCATATCTAAACAACCAAAAAGTCATTATGATTAACTCTTTACACTAACAAAACATGTTAATATGCCATCTGCAAAACAAATGGTGAAGGAAGATAATTCAGACGACAATGGTCCTAATCACTGACCTGCTCTCTGGGGAGAGGGAGCCATCAGACGACGCCCCCCGGTGGAGAGGGTGAGGGTGGCGGTGGTCTGGGCGGAGCTCTTTGTCGAACGCAATCATGTTCCACTCCTGATGGCGGTTTCGGGCTTTACGAACCTTCTTCACCTCATGCTGAAGTGTTTCGTCAACACATCGCTTCTGATCCAGAGAGAGAGAGAGGTCATTTTGCAGATAGGTGTGGAGGTATACAGGATATTGTATACACAAGTTGCTCCAAAGAAATGAGCTGTTATTAAGAAGCAAAATACATGAGGCTTTTTGAAAGTGTGACATTAAGAGTCTCTCACACGTTGTCTTCTTCTCTCCTTCCTCTTGTCCTCTGTGTCCTGCAGCATCTTCTCCTTCCACAGGTCAAAGAAGTAGGACGGGTCCGTGTAGAACTTCATCCCATCGGTGTGGTCATCTCTGTGTCAAAAGAGAGACTAGTTAGCTATATGTCACAACTGCAGGTTAAAGCTCGTCTGGTGGTTGTTGTATCTGTACAGTGTACCTGTAAGCAGAGAGGATGCTGAGAGGAGGAGGCTTGTCGCTGGTGTTGTACATCTCGCCCAGAGGGTTGGATGTGCTGCTCTTGGACACCACCTGCTGGTCCTGGACTGTAGCGCTCTTAAACACCTTCCACATGTTGATGTCCTGCAGAGAGACTGGAAAGCAATACAGTGAATGTGAGATTGATAGGAAGATGAACAATAAGAAGATACTGAGATAGAATATAATAAGTAGATTATGGACCATGCAGAACCAAAGACGAGCAGGAGAACTAATGACTGAGTTTTTCTCTTTCAACATTAGAGAGAATTTTCTTTTTTTCTTATTCCCTGACCCCAACTGACCCTCCTCCACAGTGGAATCCAGCTGGGTGACCTTGACAGCCAAGCGGTCGATGCGGTCTTGGAGACCGTTGGCACGCACATAAAAAGTGTTAGCCTCACTAAAAAGCTTTCCAAAGACGTCCTCCGCGTGTTTACCTGAATTATGAGGAAAGAGAGGAGCCATTAAAGGACAAGTTCACCTTTTTTTTTTCCAAATCTCTATTTTTGATGTAAATGAAGTGTCCAAACACTATTTTTATGATTTCACTTGGTTATGAGAAATATCTATGTATTTTTAGTATAATTATTTATTTACATTTGGTCATGTGGCAGAGAGCAAAAATGGCTGTTTTATAGCTAATCTCATGCTATTTTACACATTTTGCCATGAGGCTGAGAGAAAATGGTGCAGTTTTAAAGCTAATTTACTGTAGTAATAATAATAAAAAAGTAATGTCTCATGACGTGTTCATATGCTATCTGGTGGGTCCGGCCTCCGGGTTTTTAGGTTGGGCAATGGTGTAAAGTACTTAAGTAAAAATACTTTAAATGACTGCTTAAGTAGTTTTTTGGGGTATCTGTACTTTACTATTTATATTTTTTACAACTTTTACTTTACTACATTCCTATAGAAAATAATGTACTCATTACTCCATACATTTTCCCTGACACCCAAAAGTACTCGTTACATTTTGAATGCTTAGCAGGACAGGGAAATTGTCAAATTCAAGCACTTATCAATAGAACGCCCCTGGTCATCCCCCTTACTGCTTATGATCTGGCGGACTCACTAAACACAAATGCTTTGTTTGTAAATGATGTCTGAGTGTTGGAGTGTGCCCCTGGCTATCCATAAATAAAATAAAAAACAAGAAAATTGGGCCGTCTGGTTTGCTAAATATGAGGAATTTGAAATTATTTCTTCTTTTTCTTTTGATACTTAAGTATATTTTAGCAATTACATTTACTTTTGATACTTAAGTATATTTAAAACCAAATACTTTTTACTCAAGTAGTATTTTACTGGGTGACTTTTAACATTTTCTATTAAAAGGTATCTTTACTTTTACTCAAGTATGACAATTGGTTACTTTTTCCACCACTGCGTGTGGGGTAAGTCTGGACACTTTGATAAGATTTAATTTACATCAAAAATAGAGATTTTGTTAAAACAAAAGAGAACATGTCATTTAATACAGACATTCACCTGTGTCCAACTGGTCAGACAAGGTCATTGGAGAAGTACACGTCATAGTACACAGAAAAGAGCAACGAGATTTGTTGAGGTCAAGTTGAACAGACAGGAGCAACTTAGTGATGGAGATTTGCACTTGTCTGATGGGCCAGGAAACCAACCAAATGATTGAGATTTTCACATGTCAAACAACACTGAGACAAGAGCAAGTGATTGTGAAATCTGTTTCCATACTCTATCTCTTTCTCTACCTCCCTCCCTCCTTTATCTGTATCTGTGACACTAAGCTCTACATTAAGCTCTAATCTCCAGTGACTTCATAAAACCCCACCCCACACAAACAAACACACACAAACAGTTTGCAGACACACACACTGTAATGTGGGTATATATAGGCCAGATGTCTGGTAAATTCTCCTCCTCTAATTCTCTCTCTCCCTCCCCACACTCGAACACATGCGCATGCACACAAACACATACACACACACAGACATACACACACACACACCACATCTGTCAATATCAGATGCATTTTACCAAATAGAATTGAATCAATAAAAACACTTAAATGCACTGAGTTAATTTATCTGCATACGCTGATCAGTTTTCCAGTGTAACACTGATGGATGAGGCTGTATAAGCCACCATTCTAGAGCATGCATGCATAAGGCTGGTTAAGTGATAGGTGACTGCTTAATATATATGATGAGGGGTTGTGACTGTGTGGAAGGTATGTCTTACTTAGACTGCTGAGCTGGCGTATGATGGCAGAGAGGGTGTTGTTGGTGACACACTCCAGCTCACTGCCAATCCCCTCGGGCAGCGCCCCGCGGCAGAGGTGCCGGGGCTCTATGTTCCTCTTGACCAGGGGCATGACCTCCCCTCACACCACGCCACACACCACCTGCTGGGACACACAGCCTCTGACAATAACCTCCACGTTCCGCACAGCCAGACACAAACAATCAATTCAGACCAGATTAAATCATGAGGCAGAGACAATCGACCCAAACCTCTCCGGATTGCATTACTAACCAAATCCCACTCGTCTTATGTAATGCCATCAGGGCACATACGGGTTACATCAGGCAACAAACGACTCTTTACTTCACCCCACAGCCTTTCATTACATTCATGGAAAATTCTTTAGAGAGGCAATTCATTGTATTACTCAACACCCCTTCTATCAAGACTTATTTCCGGACCAATAACTGCATGAAAAAAAGAACTTACAGATGGCATTCCATCACAAGAGAGTCCCCCTGAGTGACTATATGCTCAAACTATGCTTATTGTAAACAACCAGGTATCAAAACCCATTTCTGGGCATTTTAAGATTGCGTTGTTCATCTGAGCTAAAGCCTACGTGTTATCTCGGGGAGACGCAGGTTTTAGCATTCAGTCAAGGCAAGCAGACTCATGCAACTGATGAATAATTATGCTATTATAAATTATAATTTGGCTTATCTAAGGGAAGGATATATGAGTTAAGTCTTATTTGAAGTAAGGACTACGCTAAATTTGAAAGTTAGGGGCCTTTCTGCAAATATTATGAGTGGTGGCACATGCCATACAAGACTGGGATGAAGTTTAGCAATGTTAAAATCACCATACAATAGAACAAACAGAATAATTTTGATTATCATGGCAAGCTTGATCACACATTTATTAACAAACCATAAAGGCAAAGCATCCTACAGCCTTGTGCAATAGATTTAACACGCAATTGCAAGCAAGCATAGCAAGGTTGTCCCAACCAAAAGCTATGTGGTGATTAGGAGAGACAATAAGTGCTACAGTCTCAACTGTGCGAACAGTGAATGCACTATTGATATGCATACTTTGTTTCAAAACACTTTAGAGCGATGCCGTATCTTGATACAAAGTAATAATTAAGTGCCTGCAACTCCAGATGAACCGGTTTATTATCGAAGAGCTGTGGTCTGTGACCCGTGACCGAGGGTTTTTAAATAGCATAATCCTAATTGTAGTATATATAATAGACTTAAACAGACATAAAAAGGGAGGGAAGATATAGGGATATGATTAACAACATGATAAAGACGGAACGCTCACCAAAAGTGTCCTTTTAGGAGTATTCAGCTGCCGTCCACCGGTGGAGTTGCCATCCTGTCCCCTCATCTCACCAGAGCGGGATTCTTTCTGTGAGGAGCAATCTCCTGCACAAATCAGCGTCCAGGCTCGGAGATTTAATTAGAAGATTTAGTTGTGTCGTCCAATCAGGTTCGTAAAAAACATCCATCATGACAACCATGGGCAGTTTGACAGCACGACGAGTGAGTTATCTGAATGATGACGAGCATCCCCATTTTACAACACAAGCCTACATTATTTCATAAATTGCATTATTAGGCCTATGTGTTTAGCCCAGTTATTCTGAAATGTATTATAAACGCTGAATAATGTGTCTGAATATATTACCACTTTCGGGCGGTCAATTAATAGTTTCAGAAGATAATGGATGCAGCCAGGGGGTGACCGCACATGACCCCCAGCCAACGGCGGGCATCGCACCCCCACGACCGTCACACGACCTATTTTCTCACTTGTTGGACTATGAATTCGTTTTTTGGTACATTCAAGCGTTTTTTGTCTGGCAGCTCTCCAAACAGTTAATTTCAAATTGTCACGATTTGTGATTTAGTTGTAATAATTATTATTGATGGAATTTTACAGTTGGATAACAATTTGTGAAATTGTTATAAGATTGATTTTGCAATGTTTCAGACTGCATGATCAGCGTTCTAGTTTTGGAAACTCCTCTTAAACTCTTATTCTTCTACCAAATTGATATAACCAGTGCAATTCCATATTGCACTCAGGTGAGTAATTGCCTAAGGGTGCCTTTCTCCATTTGGTTTCTCTCCTTCTCTTCAGTCCAGCTGGATACTGTCTCTCAGAAGAACCATGGGACCATAAGAGTGTGGATTCCAGCCAGGTACCACCTTGTGGTATGTTTGGGCATAAGCACCACCATTTCAGATTAGCCCATCCTGACAGATGGCACATGAACCATGGAAGTGGGTTGGAGGTCTGGGGTCTTAAAGGCACAGTGATTCTTGCTGCTGTGGCTTTAATGGAGGTCTGTAGATCACTGCATGAAAGACATAATCGGTGTGCTAATGCATGTTCTAATGGCAGGGAGGGGCCTCAATATGAACTCAATGGCATAATGGGTTTGCTTTTTGAAGGCAGAGTAACATATTGGGGGCTTCTGTGATTCAAACAGAGCCCTAATCTTTGGGCAGCTCAACCTTATTAACCCTAATACAGTATTTACCCTCAATGACAATGCCACTGTTGACCTCAATGTTTTCACACATCACTATCACTGCACCCATTTACACCCCCAGCCACTAATACCTCTATTATCCATGACACTGAGCCCCCAGACACTATCACATTTATCCTCCATGTATCACTTTATTTTCCCACTAGGATGATTATAGCTAGACCTGCCATACCACCACATTGCCCCACAATTATCATAGGGTTCCCTTCTGGTAGCCAAGTTTGATTCATTACCAATTCCATGTAGTTTCATATGGGCAGATGGGGGATGGGGCTACTATTTTTGTCTGACTTGTAGCTTGTTTCCTGCTGCGTTTTCTATATGTTTTGTGTATGTAATGTGTGAGCTGTGCAAAGATTCTCCTCTTGTAGGACAATAAACGTGATTCTGATTACCTTGGCCTATAACGGTATCCCTAATAATATAGCCTAGCCTACTGCTTAAGATAAATGCTTCAGATGGACACATGGAATTATGGAATTAAGTCTCAAAATGGGAGGTACAAACTTAAATTGTAAAAGCCGCTTTTTGGTAAATGACGTCAAACTAGACGCGCAAACATTCATCACTATGGACAGCACCGCGATCAGCGCGAACTAAAACAAGGGACTGGTCACCGATTCAGCCCCACTGCTATTGAACAGCGCCACACCAGGCAGCTCATAATGAAACGTTTCAACGCACCTGTTGTGGGGCTGTGGCTGCAGAAAGGCCTGCTGATTAACTTTCCAACCACCAGAGTAAATTATATTAATGTATAGAGATCACAGTGAAGAATGTTTTAGATAAAGAGTGGTAAATGAGGGAGTCATGATATCATGTGATGGGGTTATGTACATAGTTTAGCAGTTGCATCAGAAATACTTAACCGTAATATAACTTTATCATGGACAAAACATCCGAAATAAGCCAGCAATTTATTGTGGACATTTTTTTAAATTAGCACATATACAGAATGTTTACAAAGAAATACCTCCTGTAGCTCAGTTGGTAAAGCATGGCGCTTGCAACGCCAGGATTGTGGGTTCGATTCCCACGGGGGGCCAGAATGAAAAATGTATGCACTCACTAACTGTAAGTCGCTCTGGATAAGAGCGTCTGCTAAATTACTAAAATGTAAATGTAAAATACCATACATTATAAGTCATAATAAAAAATGAAAGCTTGAATTATTGGTCACTGACCAATTGCAATTATTCTCCTCAATATTTGTATTAAAATGAACAGGCTGCCTCAGATTTACATTCCATTTCCTGGGCTTATTAATATTTTCATATTTGAATACCCAAATATCACTGGAGTCTGTAAATCGTGGCGCTCCGGACAGTGGAAACCCTCTCGCCAGGTAGATTGCGCGTCCTTCCAACCATGGCAATATACACCATTTGTCCTCTGGTGCGTCATGCCCACTTGGAGAATCAGACTGATGAAAGTCCCAACAGCAAAACGCACGGTGCTCATTCCAACTGGAGATAGGAATCCCGTGTCCTTATGTTGTTATTACAAAATAAATTCTAAAATATGATAAATGACTATGACTATGTGGCTCAATCGATCACCCTCTCTGCGATAGGTTCACAAGGCTATTTAAAATTATCAACATTTATGAGCGTAGTGCTTGCAACTAGACATATCCAGAATAGGCTAATTTTAAAAATCATACTGGGAAGCTATAGGTATGTAAAATAGGCTTACCTTTGGATTCACGCCGTGTGATGCATCATAACATGAGTGCGATCTGCTCTGTGGATCTGTTCTCTCCATAATTGATGTCATGGGACACAGTAATGTTAGACAATTAATGGAAAGCCTTATAGATGCTAGCGTACTACACGGGCACACATGACTATAGATGGGCTATTTGATCAGAAAGATGCATATCATAACTATGCCAATTGAATCTTACATTTTTTGCTGGGCACTTTATTAGGCTAATAGGTCTCTGAAGTTTATTTTTCCAATGTTGGCCTATCACAGTAATAATAGGCTTAGTGATTGGTTATAATTCGACTATGCTGCTATGCAAAGCAATAGTTTGACTCTGACTGAGTGTCCAAGTAAAGGTTGTCATTGAGGAAAGGAGACGAGGAAATAATCTCAAGGATATTGGAACGTAACCACCGCCGCATTCGAGCTAAACGAGTCAAACGAGGAATGAAACAGTGTCGCTGTTACGCCATTTTGGCTCCCAGAGCCCGTCTTTCCTAATGTAAAACAGGGCTTTGAGCCAAAATGGTAATTGTTTCCCGAGCTCGTCTCGCGTCTGTCAGCTGATCACGGCTCATCCCTTTCGGAAATACATTTCTTAAGGGCCCTGGAACATTGAGTAGTAAGAGAAGGTAATCAAACCGAATCATATTATTCGAATTTAGTTTGCTAACTTGAATGTCAATTCATTGCAACTGGCTAGTAAATGACGATAAACCACGCAGATTAGCTAATTTTAGCGTTACCTTTCCGTTCTGTCAGTGTCACCTGACTGACTCTACGATTAGGTTAGCAAGCTATCTAGCTAGCTAGTAGCTATATGGTTTGTTTGTTTGTGATAAACAACTAAAACTAAGACTGTCTTTCATAATTTTTTGGCATTGTAATATGGTATGTAGAGGCTAGTTAGTTAGCTAGCAAGCTTCCTGAAGCCTAGCTGGTTGTTTGTCTCCTGCTTTTGCGAAGCAGATGTTAGAAAAGCTCTCGGTCCAGGTATTGGCACCAGAGCAAGCTAGTTTACCTAGCTACGTACATGTCTCTGTACCAATGAATGAAATGTGTGTTTTGATTCTGTGTGGTCATGGTGAATTATTTTAATTCCATTAAGTAATTTAATTGATTGAAACAGTACAGTAACTATAGCTAAGTGTCATGCCTTTCATGCCCCATCATTATAGTGAAGTGTCACATGATTGATCTCTGGTTTTCCTCTCTGTACACTTTGCAGACACACTCAGGATGGACACTTCCAAGCTTCCTAAAATCCGTGATGAGGAGCGGGAAAGCGAGTTTGGATATGTGCATGGAGTTTCTGGTCCAGGTTTGTCTAAACATTAGACTTTTACTATGGTTACTCCATGGATATCAGTCTGAAATAAGTGGCTGTAAAAAAGACGGGGATAGTCTCTACAAGCCAGAATGTTGAATACAATGATATTTAAACTTACTTTACCAGTTGTCCATGCTGTTGGTCCTTTTGGTGATAGGAAGTGGAAATGGGTAAACAAAACTTTCCCGTGGTTACCCTGACTTTTTGCGGCGCCGGTAGGTTCTGTTGCTTGTATTTTCCATCTCTTGGCGCATTTCACGTGATGCACAATATGTAAACAATAACCGAATGTAACTGAACGTTGTCGACCAAAACGCGTTCCCTCACATTCAGATGGAAGTGCTTGTGAAATTTGCCAGCTGATTGGTCTATGCTTTGGTTAAACTCGGCCATTGTTTATATATTGTGCAAGTCTCATGCGAATTGCGTTGGCATTGAAAATACAAACCGACATACACACCAGTGTACTGAAAGTCGGGTTAATAACACTACTCTGTGGATATTTTGTCTCAGATTACCTCCTACATATAGTTCCTGTACCCAAGAAAGCAAAGGTAACTGAACTAAATTACAATCGCCCCGTAGCACTCACCTCTGTCATCATGAAGTGCTTTGAGAGACTATCAAGAATCATATCACCTCTACCTTACCTGTCACCCTAGACCCACTTCAATTTGCTTACTGCCCCAATAGATCCACAGACGATGCAATCGCCATCACACTGCCCTATCCCATCTGGACAAGAGGAATACCTATGTAAGAATGCTGTTCATTGACTATAGCTCAGCATTCAACACCATAGTACCCTCGAAGCTCATCATTAAGCTTGAGGCCCTGGGTCTGATCCCCGCCCTGTGCAACTGGGTCCTGGACTTCCTGACGGGCTGCCCCCAGGTGGTGAAGATAGGAAACAACACCTCCACTTTGCTGATCCTCAACACTGGGGCCCCGCAAGGGTGCATGCTCAGCCCCCTCCTGTACTCCCTGTTCACCCATGACTGCGTGGCCAAGCACGCCTCCAACTCAATCATCAAGTTTGCAGACGACACAACAGTAGTAGGCTTGATAACCAACAATGACGAGACAGCCTACAGGGAGGAGGTGAGGGCTCTGGGAGTGTGGTGCCAGGAAAATAACCTCTCACTCAATGTCAACAAAACAAAGGAGATGATCGTGGACTTCAGGAAACAGCAGGGGGTGCACCCCCCTATCCACATCGACAGGACCGCAGTGGAGAAGGTGGAAAGCTTCAAGTTCTTTGGCGTACACATCACTGACAAACTGAAATGGTCCACCCACACAGACAGTGTGGCGAAGAAGGCACAACAGAGCCTCTTCAATCTCAGGAGGCTGAAGAAATTTGGCTTGGCCCCTAAGACCCTCACAAACCTTTACAGATGCACAATTGAGAGCATCCTGTCGGGCTGTATCACCACCTGGTACGGCAACTGCACCGTCCACAACCGCAGGGCTCTCCAGAGGGTTGTGCGGTCTGCCCAACGCATTACCGGGGGCAAATGACCCGCCCTCCAGGACACCTACAGCACCCGATGTCACAGGAAGGCCAAAAAGATCATCAAGGACATCAACCACCCGAGCCACTGCTTGTTCACCCCACTATCATCCAGAAGGCGAGGTCAGTACAGGTGTGCCAAAGCTGGGACCGAGAGACTGAAAAACAGCTTCTATCTCAAGGCCATCAGACTGTTAAATAGCCATCACTAGCACATTAGAGGCTGCTGCCTATAGACATAGACTAGAAAGCACTGGCCACTTTAAGAAATGGAACACTAGTCACTTTAATAATGTTTACATATCTTGCATTACTCATCTCATATGTGTATATACTGTATTCTATACTATTCTACTGTATCTTAGTCCATGCCGCTCTGTCATTGCTCGTCCATATATGTATATATTCTTAATTCCATTCCTTACTTAGATTTGTGTGTATTGGGTATATGTTCTGAAATTGTTAGATATTACATGTTAGATATTACTGCACTGTCGGAGCTAGAAGCACAAGCATGTCACTACACCCGCAATAACATCTTCTAAACACGTGAATGTGACAAATAAAATTTGATTTGACATAAAGACAAAATCAGCGGACAACAGGTAAAGTAGGTTCAAATGAAGTTTATTCAACAGTCTTACTTGTGATGGGACTGTTCACAAAAAGTGAGCCTACATGTTAGAGAGGAGTCTTCCACTCTCGGATTCATAGAGGCTAGGTCCAGGTCAGTGTCTGAAGTTCCAATCAATCATCCCAGGCTCTGGCCTGGGAGTGGTAACTCCCATGCCAATGCCAAACCTAAGCTTTAGTTCAGTGGGCTAACAAAGTTTTCAGCATATTATTTTTCACCTGGTCAATTAGGCCTGCTCTGTTCCAATATGGCAAACATATCTGTTTAGACTTGATCGTGTAGCCAGACTCAGTGCTACTTGCAAATAACATGTTTTCTGTCATCTGTTCTTTGTCTAACCTGTTTAACCAACAGTGGTGACGGCCACCGCCATGGCAGGAGCGGCCATGTACGAGCTGGTGCGTGTGGGCCACAGTGAGCTGGTGGGAGAGATCATCAGGCTGGAGGGAGACATGGCAACTATTCAGGTCTACGAGGAGACCTGTATCCTTTTCAGTCATACCTGCTTTACTGCTAGACATAGTTACACCCACCTTCACTCAATGTTGATGGTTCAGTTACTCTTGTGTACTTCCATTCTGATGTCTTCTAGCCTTTCCTCTTATCGGGCATATACTAGGCTATATGGTTAGGTTTCCTGAATGTATGCCACAGCTGGTGTGTCTGTCGGAGACCCTGTCCTTCGGACAGGAAAGCCCCTGTCTGTAGAGTTGGGGCCGGGAATCATGGGCTCCATCTTTGATGGTATCCAGCGTCCCCTCAAAGACATCAATGACCTCACTCAAAGCATTTATATCCCTAGAGGAGTAAACATTGGAGCCCTCAACCGTGACCTCAAGTGGGAGTTTACACCTGGCCAGAGTCTTAGAGTAAGAAAAAAAAAAAATGTATTTTCATTGTGTAAGGTGTGTTTGAATGTGTGTCCCCACTGAAATATGATCCATCTCCTAAATTTACATATTATGTACTCTACCTCCCCTTGTCCTCAGACCGGCAGTCACATAACAGGTGGGGATATCTATGGCACAGTGTTTGAGAACTCCCTGATCAAGCACAAGTTGATGCTCCCACCCCGGAGCAGAGGCACTGTCACCTACGTGGCCCCACCTGGAAACTATGATGTCAATGTGAGTCACCCTCCACCTACTAACGTCTTTGCAGCTGAATAAAGCTACTTGGATGTGAATGGCATAATCCCATTCTCTTGTCTCTGTTGTTTGGTTAATTGTGTGTGTGTATCAGCAGGATGTGGTGCTGGAACTTGAGTTTGAGGGTGTGAAGGAGAAATTTACCATGATCCAGGTCTGGCCAGTGCGACAGATTCGCCCGGTCACAGAGAAGCTGCCTGCCAATCACCCCCTGCTTACTGGCCAGAGAGTGCTGGATGCCCTCTTCCCGTGAGTTATACCTATTTCAATTTTTTTCTTCCTTTTTTCTACTCACCTCATGCCACTTTATAGCCTTTCCTCCTGACACTTCCTTGGACTGAACCCTCTAACAAGCCATCTGCTTCTGGCTCTGTTTTTTCTCACAGGTGTGTCCAGGGAGGCACCACTGCTATCCCAGGAGCCTTTGGTTGTGGCAAGACTGTGATCTCACAGTCCCTGTCCAAGTATTCCAACAGTGATGTCATCATCTATGTGGGCTGTGGAGAGCGTGGAAATGAGATGTCTGAAGTTTTGAGAGATTTCCCTGAGGTTAGTGACCGTACGCGTGTCAAGTTCTAATAATTGACAACATGTTCATGAGATTACAGGGAATTACACTACTAGGGTGTCTGGCATAGCCGATCACCAGTTTGTGATGTGTTCTCAGTCTGACCAATGGTATTCCTCCCTGCTCCATAGCTTACAATGGAAGTGGATGGAAAGGTTGAAAGTATCATGAAGAGAACAGCGCTAGTGGCCAACACTTCCAACATGCCTGTCGCTGCTAGAGAGGCCTCCATTTACACAGGTACCAGCCAATCACATTACAGATGGCAACACTGAACAAAAATATAACCGCAACATGCAACAATTTCACAGATTTTACTAAATTACATGACTGGGAATACAGATATGCATCTGTTGGTCACAGATTGCTAAAAGTAGGGGCGTGGATCAGAAAACCAGTCAGTATCTGGTGTGACCACCATTTGCCTCATGCAGCGCGACATGTCCTTCGCATAGAGTTGATCAGGCTGTTGATTGTGGCCTGTGGAATGGCTGTGCAAAGTTGCTGGATATTGGCATGAACTGGAACACGCTGTCTTACACGTTGATCCAGAGCATCCCAAATGTGCTGAATGGGTGACATGTCTGAGTATGCAGTCCATGGAAGAACTTGGACATTTTCAGCTTCCAGGAATTGTGTAAAGATCCTTGCGACAGGGGCTGAGGTGAAACATGAGGTGATGGCGGTGGATGGATGGCACGACAATGGGCCTAAGGATCTCACCACGGTATCTCTGTGCATTGAAATTGCCATCGATAAAATGCAATTGTGTTCATTGTCCGTAGCTTATGCCTGCCCATACCATAACCCCACCACGGGGCACTCTGTTCACAACGTTGACATCAGCAAACCGCTCGCCCACACAACGCCATCTTCCTGGTACAGTTGAAAGGTGAGCATTTGCCCACTGAAGTCGCTTAAGGACGCCGAACTGCAGTCAGGTCAAGACCTTTGTGAGGACGACGAGCACGCAGATGAGCTTCCCTGAGACAGTTTATGACAGTTTATGCAGAACTTCTTCGGTTGTGCAAACCCACAGTTTTATCAGCTGTCCAGGTGGCTGGTCTAAGACGACCCGCAGGTGAAAAAGCCGGATGTGGAGGTCCTGGACTGGCGTGGTTACACGTGGTCTGTGTTTGTGAGGCCAGTTGGACGTACTGCCAAATTCTCTAAAATGACGTTGGAGGTGGCTTATGGTAGAGAAATTAACATTCAGTTCTCTGGCAACAGCTCTGGTGGACATTCTTGCAGTCAGCATGCCGATTGCACGCTCCCTCAACTTGTGGCATTGTGTTTGGTGACAAAACTGCACATTTTAGAGTGGCCTTTTATTGTCCCCAGCACGAGGTGCACATGTATAATGATCATGCTGTTTAATTCGCTTCTTGATACACCGCACATGTCAGGTGGATGGATTATATTGCCAAAGGAGAATTGCTCACTAACAGGGATGTAAACAAATTTGTGCACAAAATTTGAGAGAAATAAGCTTTTTGTGTGTATGGAACATTTCTGGGATCTTTTATTTCAGCTCATGAAACATGGGACCAACACTTTACATGTTGCGTTTATATTTTGGTTCAGTATAGCTGGAGTTTACAGTTGTAAATAATGTTTGATGAAGGGTTGGGAATCCTTTGTTCTGGACTGTTGGGGGATGAGTCACCGCTCACTCATAACCTTGTATTGACTCTGATTCTGTGCTTTTGATTCTGACTTGTGTGTGCCACTGCAGGAATCACTCTGTCTGAGTACTTCAGAGACATGGGCTACAACGTCAGTATGATGGCCGACTCCACCTCCCGATGGGCAGAGGCTCTCCGGGAGATCTCAGGACGATTAGCTGAGATGCCTGCTGGTGAGTACACTGAGCCAAAAGCAATGGAAGATGGTTATCTGTAAACCTATCACCGCAACATGTCTGTCATTTTGAACCAGTCAGAGCTCTGTGTGCTGTTTGTCCACAGACAGCGGGTACCCTGCCTACCTGGGAGCCAGACTAGCCTCCTTCTATGAGCGTGCTGGCAGGGTGAAGTGCCTGGGCAACCCAGAGAGAGAGGGCAGCGTCAGCATTGTTGGAGCGTGAGTACTACATCATTCTACCAGCAGGGGGAACCTCTATCACCCTCCTTCCTCCTGGCGCTAAGGGTCAGACGGGTTCTGTCCTGTACCAGTCCTGCAACACCAGATACCTCGACTATGTAGTCTAATCCTCATAACGTACAGTATGATACAGTGATGGCAGACTGTGGTGTCTGAATAACTTGGCCTTGTGTTATTTCCCCTAGTGTGTCCCCCCCTGGTGGAGACTTCTCTGATCCTGTTACTTCAGCTACACTGGGTATTGTACAGGTAATGCCTCAATGGTATATATTAAAACTTTAGTGACAATTTTATGTTCAGACAATTTAAACCTTTACTCTTCCTACTCCTCATTCCTGTTTTTATCCTCTCTCTCTCTCTCGCTCTCTCTCTTGCTCTCTCTCTCTCTCCATCTCTCAGGTGTTCTGGGGTCTGGATAAGAAGCTGGCCCAGAGAAAGCATTTCCCCTCAGTGAACTGGCTGATCAGCTACAGCAAGTACACGCGGGCGCTGGACGAGTACTACGACAAGCACTTCCCTGAGTTTGTGCCGCTTCGCACCAAAACCAAGGAGATCCTGCAGGAGGAGGAGGATCTGGCTGAGATAGTACAGCTTGTGGGAAAGGTGAGGCTGAGGCCATGTGAGGAAGGGTTATGGGTTGATACACTGCCTAGGTTGATGGTGAGCATGTGTATGCACGCACTATGCACTCATTTCTGTGCCCCCTGCCATCTTAATAACAGGCATCTCTCGCTGAGACCGACAAGATCACATTGGAGGTTGCTAAACTACTCAAGGACGACTTCCTGCAGCAGAATGGCTATACTCCATACGACAGGTAAATACACGCACATCTGTGTGTCATAGACGTACTAAATTGACTTAATCATCGATTATTATGCACATATTTATGAATTGATTGACTTTATGCCCCTTCCCGAAGGTTCTGCCCATTCTACAAAACAGTGGGCATCCTCTCCAATACAATTGCGTTCTACGACTTGGCGCGACATGCAGTGGAGACCACGGCTCAGAGTGACAACAAGATCACCTGGTCCATGATCCGGGAGCACATGGGAGAGATCCTCTACAGGCTCAGCTCCATGAAGTTCAAGGTACATGCTTGTTCAGCCCCTTGCTTTATCCATGGTCCACTGCATGAAAATCAACTTCCCCAGTCCCTCTACCACCTCTGGTCTTCTTTATACATCCAATGTTGGACTTTGTCTTTGAGTTTCATTGTGCTTCGCTGTGTCTCTGTATACCTCTGTTGTTTCAGGACCCAGTGAAGGAGGGCGAGGTCAAAATCAAAGCAGACTACGCCCAGCTACTGGAGGACATGCAGAACGCCTTCCGTACCCTGGAGGACTGAGCTCTCACCTCCCCCTCCACTCTGAGCCCCCCAGTCCCAGTGCTGTGCCGTGCAGTATCTCAGTGGCCCGTTTGTGAAACCTTGCTGCAGTGACAGTCACCTCAGTCATTCCTAAGTGTTCATTCCTCCACATTCCAATACTATGTTCAAGCCCTTCATTACAACCATGCTCTTTTTATTTCACAATATTGTCTTGTACAAGGCAATACTGGAATAATTTTTCTCAACTTAAATTCATTGCTACCAAATCTCACCATTAGTCTATTACCATTAGAAATACCATTATCCCTGACCCCATCGCATGGATGTGCTCCTCCTCACCCTTCAGCCCCCTTGTCATCCATGAGAACATGACTACAGCCCTTATTGCAGGCCAATAATCAGTGGGCCCTGATCAGGTGCTACACTTGCACTTAGCTACTAGCTGCAACACAGGGCCCCTCCAGCGGAGTGTCACTTTCATCTCCCAGGTGGGACCACCACCAATTGATTGTTAACAAAAATGGGAATGTACACATGAGTAAAGGGACAGAGGCACCTTGTTTATTTCAGGAGGTTGAGGCCCTCTTCCTCTCCCCACCTCACAGATGTGATTTTTGCGGTGTATTGATGTTGTTGACGTTAATGTTGTTTTTGTGTGGATGTGTGAGACTGAGACGGTGTGTGTGTTACAATCGGTTGTCTCCACAAAGGTATATTTATGTCACATGTATTGTAAGGAGTCTCTAAAGAAAATAAATTAATGGGAAACAATTTGCCTGGTGTTTTATGCTGGATGGAGTTAGAGCTAGTCAAATAATATTACATTTACATTTTTACATTTTAGTCATTTAGCAGACGCTCTTATCCAGAGCGACTTACAGTTAGTGAGTGCATACATTTTTTTTCATACTGGCCCTCCGTGGGAAACGAACCCACAACCCTGGCGTTGCAAGCGCCGTGCTCTACCAACTGAGCTACAGGGGACTAAATGTATTGACTTAAATGTATTGATGACATGCTTCTAAGATATAGTTACAGCTAGCAACCTTAATGCCACCAAGGACAATCATTTCCCAAACCATATTTTGTCTTTCTCATATACGTTATTAATGTTTTTACTCTTTCAGAAACATTTCTTCTTTCATGAATCAAAAATTGAAAAAGTTATGGGCATAGACTTGGCACCTGAATATGGCACAGCTAAATGAAGCCCCTTATTCATACTATTACACTGTTTCTACTGCAACTATTTGAACCACTAGAGGCCATTCAGTCATCATAGCAGCTGTTTCCTTAAAGAAAATAAAACATTTCCTATATTGAAAGAATGCATTGTTTCTTTACAGCAAAGCCAAAATATGTAAATAATTGAATATAGTTGGAAAACAAAAATAAGTATTTTCTAAATTGTATTAAAATCAGCTTATATAAATCCTAAACAACTTGCAATGTAATCCTATAAGGCATCACTGTTTCCCACGGTTTAAAATGTTGTTTTGAAAAGGAACACATAGGACAACATCATAAATAATTGTCCTGATACCTCAGACGATGAGGTTGACTTTTGATTGGAAGGAATATGCCCAGAAGCAGTCAGGGAGAAACCGTAGCAAGTTTGTCAATCTATCTTGTACCACTGAGAAGGTTAATTATTTTGATTCTTGAACAAACCAGGAAATAGAGGGGAACTGTTTCACCAAACTCAAGACAATGGGGCCTATTAGTTACGTTGTGGTTGATGCTCCACCCACTGACTTGGTTTTAGATGTTGATCCAATTAAGTGATAATGCCAGAGAAGCCGGTGTTTGGAGGATATATTGGCACGGGTGTTGTTAGGGCCGGCAAACCGTGCCAATATATCCTCCAAACACCAACTTCGAGGGCATTATCACTTTTATACAACGGGTTACCAGTATATTCAAATAATGATTGACATATTTTCAATAAAAACGTTATTTTGATGGATTTATTCATACTATTTCATCCTTCCACAAGATATAGTCCCAACACAAATATAGGGTTGCTACCCAAGTCGGCTGGTCGTTCGTACTATCGGTTCGGTTGCCAGAGACGCGTCCCAGTCGTTCAGTCTTTTTGTTCGGGATCTATGGACGCGACTCAGTCGTTCGTTCTAAATCAGGGGTGTCAAACGTCCGGCCCGCGGGCCGGATCAGGCCCGCAAACGGGTTTAATCCGGCCCGCGAGATGATAAAAAATAAAATAAAATAAAAAATAAACTGCTGTTCCAATTGCGTCCACTGGATGGCGCAATAGCAATTGTGTTAAGCAAGCAAACTGTTTATACCGGGGCAGAGCAAGTAGGTCAAGCACGTGCAGCCAATGAGCTACTTTGTTTTGCCCACGATATTTATTACGGCTTCTACTTTTAACATTATGTGCTTTGGCACCATCATTGCCCCAATATGTCTCTGTCAAAAAAGAGAAAAGTGGACGCAGAGTGCAGAGTGTTCCAAGAAAAATGGTCATCCTATTTATTCACGGAATTGAATGGGAAAGCTGTATGTTTGGTGTGTTCAGAGCATGTTGCAGTGCTGAAAGAATATAACCTTCGTCGCCACTATGTGAGTCTTCATGCCGACAAATATGACAACTTTCAAGGACAGCGGAGATGAGAGAAGGTGAATAAACTGTTGGCGGGTCTGAAGAAACAGCAGTCTGTGTTTACTCACAGCCGAGACATCAGTGAAAGCTAGCTACCTCATTGCTAATGAAATCGCAGTGGCTTCAAAACCATTTAGTGAGGGTGAATTTGTAAAAACATGCATGATTAAGGCAGCGGAGATTGTGTGCCCTGAAAAGCGGCAGGCTTTTGCAAATATCAGCCTGACAAGAAACACAGTTGCAGACAGGATTTCCGATCTTTCAGGGGATTTGGACAGCCAGTTGAAGCAAAAAGTAAAGTCATTTATTGCGTTTTCGGTTGCAATTGATGAAAGCACGGACATTACACATTACAAAACTGGCCATTTTCATCCGCGGAGTTGATGACACATTGACCGTCACCGAGGAGTTCGTGGAGTTGGTGCCGATGACAGATACAACGACAGCAGCTGATATTTTTACCGCACTCGTCGGCGCGCTGGACAGGGTCGGAGTGGACTGGTCCCGCGCTGTCAGCCTGGCTACAGATGGTGCGCCCTCAATGATCGGGAAAAAAGCAGGCGTTGTGACAAAGTTCAGAGAGAAAGTGCAATCTGCAAATGGAGGACGTGATTTTTTGACTTTTCACTGTATTTTGCACCAGGAGACTTTGTGTTGCAAGTCATTAAAGATGGATAACGTCATGAAGGTGGTCATCCAAACTGTTAATTTCATCCGATCCAGAAGCCTGAATCACCGTCAGTTTGACAGCCTTCTCAGAGAGAAAGGCCACATCTATGGCCTGCCATACCACACTGAGGTAAGATGGTTAAGCCGAGGTGCTGTGCTGAGGCGTTTCTTTGATTTACGAAAAGAAATTGAACAGTTCATGGAAGAAAAGGGCAAACCAGTGTTAGAATTTCATTCCGCAGAATGGATGCAGGACCTTGCATTTATGGTGGATGTTACAGAGCACCTGAATAACTTGAACAAACAGCTGCAAGGGCGCAACAAAGTTGCCACGCAGTATTATGACAGCATACGTTCTTTCAAGTTGAAGCTGTCATTGTGGGAGACGCAACTCGCCGGTGGTGATGCAGCTCACTTCCCCTGTCTGAAAAATGTGTGCGCGACCCAACATGTGGCAGACATGAAGCGGTTCAAAGATAAAATAACGGGACTGTTAAGGGAGTTTGAGCAACGCTTTCAGATTTTTGGTGAACTGGAGAAAGACTTCAAAGTTTTTTGTTTGCCATTCACCGTGAATCCCTCTGATCTGCCCGTCAGCATCCAACTTGAAATAATAGACTTGCAGTGTGACTCGGATTTGAAGGGCAAATTTGCTGCAGCTGGCTTGGACACATTTTATCAGAATCTCTTGCCAGGTTACCCCAACTTGACAGCCCTCGCTGCAAAACTGTTGTGCATGTTTGGAACCACATATCTTTGTGAGCAAGTTCTCTGTAATGAGCATAAATAAAACAAAGATGCGCTTAAGGCTCACGCACAAGCACTTGAATCACATCCTGAAGTTGGCTGCCACTCAGGATGTGACGCCTGATATTGATGCGCTGGTGAAAGCTAAAAGATGCCAGGTATCAGGAGTCAAATATACTATGCAACCCCACTTAAAGTGCTGCATGAGATACCCTGATATAGTTCTGTGATCTGTGATATACTTCTGTGAATCACTGAGGCATTGTGTGTTTGTGTGTTGTTTGTCCTCAGAATTTCAAATAACTTGAGGTGTTTTATGATTAATAGTGATGTTGTGCTTTTGGACACACTGTCCTCAGGCTCCAGCTTTATGTTTATATGTTTTTATGTTGATGTGCTATTGTTTTTAATTGTTTTTATTTTATTTGTATATTTAACCTATTCTTGACTCTGTGGTTCTTGCACTTGTTTGGGGAACAGGATTTCATTATTTGTATCTACATTTCTGCCTGAGAAATGACCCCCTGATATAGTTCTGTGATCTGTGAAACACTTCTGTCAATCACTGAGGCATTGTGTGTTTGTGTGTTCTTTTTCTTTAGAATTTTCAAATAAACTTGAGGTGTTTTATGATTAATAGTGATGTTGTGCTTGTACTATTTTGGACACACTGTCCTCAGGCTCCAGCTTTATGTTTTATGTTGATCGTACTAAAACAAAGAAAACAATCTGAAGTTGTTGTTTTTAAGTTATATATACCATGATTTTACCGGTCCGGCCCACTTGGGAATAGATTTTCCTCCATGTGGCCCCTGAGCTAAAATGAGTTTGACACCCCTGTTCTAAATGTTTCATTGCAATACTGGCTGGCAACATTCTTATCCCTTGCTTGCTAGCTAGCCAACTATGGCTAACTTAGTCACGTCAAAAAGTGCAGCCAGAATAACAGCAAAGTAGCTGCATTTGCATTTGTTTAAGCTGTTTTCTAGTGACATTTATTTTGATACATCCATAACAATGAGCTATGGATAGAAAATGCATAGAAAATGTGCTCACTCGTCAGGACACTGTTGTTCAGAGGAGCTGGCCAACAACACAGCTAACACAATCACTTCAAACTGAAGCTGGAAAGACTGCAAACTAGCTGCACTTCGTTTCGTTTGACCTTTTTTCAATTGACTTTTTTCAATTAAAATGATGCCAGCTGATTCATGATTTCGAAAGCTGGAGATCGAATTTGAATATTGAAATAATGTTGCAAATTTCAGAGATACAGACAGCAATGTTTATACAAATCTCTGCTGTTAAAAACTAAATGTTAGTCTTAAAGAAATGTGAGATAATGTCCAGGGCCCGTATCCTTAAAGATTCTGAGAATCCTCTCAGAGAGCTCCTAACTTAACCTAAAAATTCCTTGCCAGGAGTTTTAGCTTAGAAGTGATTCCAGAACATTTTCAGTGAACTCTGAGCCAGGAATGGATGAAAAATCCTATCTTAGTGAGGAGGTGTGGTTGACCCCGTTGCTAGGTATGAGTCATCATTTCAAAAGCCGTGATTGGTTGATCCTACAAGTTTGATGAAAATGAACTTTTGGTGATAATGAGCAAAGGATGTACCCTCAAATCAATAAACATAATTATACACTCTAATCTTATGCAGACTATAATTGTAAATAATATTTCACATTCAAGAAAATATCTGGAAAATGAATAGTAAGCTGTAGGGGT